TAGTTATGTGGATTCCTCAGTGGTCTTGGGGTATATACATGGGTATATATATTTAATTAGTTTTGGGGATTCATTGTACTGAATGTTCTTGTACTATATAAATTAGTATGTAACAGGCTTTGAGTTATTTTGTTTTATTTTATCTATCTATCTATTTATTTATTTATTTTTGAGTTGGAGTCTCACTCCGTCGCCCAGACTGGAGTGCAGTAGCCGCTCCCGGCCACCGCAGCCTCAACCTGCTGGGCTCCGGTAATCCTTCCGCCTCAGCCTTCCAAGTAGCTGGAACTATAGGCGCGCACTACCACACCCAGCTAATTTTTTGATTTATTGTAGAGATGAGGTCTCTCCAAGTTGCCCAAGCGGGTCTCAAACCCACGGGCTCAGGCAATCCACTCACCTCAGCCTCCCAAGGCGCAGGATTACAGGCTGAGCCACCAAGCCCAGCTTATTTTATTTTATTTGAGTTGGAGTCTCACTCTGTTACCCAGGCTGGAATGCATGGCACATTCATGGCTACTACAGCCTCAACCTACTGGGCTCAGGCATTCCTTCTGCCTCAACCTTCCAGTAGCTAGAACTACAGGTATGTGCCACCACGCCTGGCTAATTTTTTGATTTATTGTAATGATGAGGTCTCACCAAGTTGTCCAGCCTGGTCTTGAACCTGTGGCTTAGGCAATCCTCGCACCTCGGCCTCCCAAATTGCTGGGATTATGGGCATGAGCCACCACTTCTGGCCTTTAAAATTTTTTTTTAGAGTCTGAATCTTACTCTGTTGTCTAGGCTAGTGTGATCATAACTCATTGCAGCCTCAAACTCCTAGGCTCAAGTAATCCTCTCCTCAGTCACCTGAGTAGCTGGGACTACAAGCGTGTTCCACCATGCCCAGCTAATTTTTTTATTTTTTGTAGAGACAGGGCCTCACTTTGTTGCCCAGACTGGTCTCAAACTCCTGGCCTCAAGCAATCCTTCCACCTTGGCCCTCCTTTCTTTTCTTTGTCAAATTCCTATACCCAGTGTTTTATTTTTGCTGATATCTATACCTGTGAAATATTACTTATTTGTAGATGAGGAGGTAAATGACAGTCGAAAAGTTAATCACTGATTAGGATTGGTGATCTACATTTTTAGTTTTTATTTTTTTACTAGACAAATAATCTTTGTTTCAAACTTTATTCCCAGGCTTCTTCAGCTTAATTAGCGGCAAAGAATGAGTTGTGTATAAACAAAAACTGAAAAGAGCCGTAGTGTCCAAGGGGTTTGGGCTTAAGAACATTAAAGATCTAGATTTTATCAGATCCATAAACAAAACAATTTTTGAAAGCAGTCATAATATAAAATAGCAGCTCCCAGTAACTTGAAATTCAAGTTTTATCTTCTTCAGAAATTGACTCACCTCAGTTTGCCTCATTCTGGGAAGCCTCATCAAAATTCTCCACAAGATCTGGAACTTCATCATCATCATCATCCTCTCTAGTAGCAAGTGGGCTTTTTCATCCACAGATTGTTTGGGCAGAGCTTCAGCCAGCTTCCTTAAACTAATCAGACTGTCTGTACCAAGTTGGTTTAAGAAGCTGGGTAGCATTTCTGTCAGCTGCTTTGTCTCAGCATGGCCTGTAATGGTTAAAGTGTTCGTTGCCAGAGATGCCTGAACTTTAGGGTCGCTAAAGTGGATAACTGTTCCTTGGTTTGTAAATATATTCACCTCTTCGATACCAGAGATATTGTTTACCCCTAACTTCTTGAAGGACAACTGGAATTTTTTATCACCTGCTGTAGTTATTCTGTGAACCACCTTCTTCAAGCACTTCCTTTCCCACTATTGCGTACTTGTGCCTGCAGTGTGGCGAGTTTTTCCTGATTCATGATAGTTTCTTTCATCTTATTGGAGCGGACAAGAGGCCACACGGGGGACTAGGGTTGATGGTCAGGGATCTTGGCTGGACCAGCTGAGATTAGGTGTACACATGCAGAGATGCAAGATGGCAGCTTTTTACATTTTTGAAAAAGAAAGTAGGCCAAGCTTGGTGGCTCAGCCTATAATCCCAGCACTTTGGGAGGCCGAGGCAAGTGGATTGCCTGAGCCCGTGGGTTCGAGACCAACCCAGGCAACTTGGTGAGACCTTGTATCTACAATAAATAAAAAATTAGCTGGTGTAGTAGTGCACCTATAGTTCTGGCTACTTCAGGCTGAGGTGGAAGGATCGCCGGAGCCCAGCAGGTCGACACTGGGATGGCCAGTGAGCATGCCTTGGCACTCCAGTCTGGGCAACAGAGAAAATAAAGTAAATGCTTAAAAAATAAAAGTAAATGCTTAAAAAATAAAGAAAGTAAATGCTTAAAAAATATGAGCCAGGCATAGTGGTTCATGTCTTTACTCCCAGCACTTTGAAAGGCCAGGGTGGAAGGATTTCTTGAGCTCTGAGTTTAAGACCAGTCTGGGCTATATAGCGAAACTGTATGTCTACAAAAATTTTTTTAAAAATTAGCCAGGCATGGTGGTGTATGCCTGAAATTCCAGCCCTTTGGGAGACTGTGGTAGGAAGATCCCTTGAGACCAGGTCAAGACTTCAGTGAGCTCTGATTGTACCACTGCACTCCAACCTAGGTGACCTAGCAGGACTTTGTCTCAAAAACAACAAAAAGAGCTGGGGGTGGCTCACGCCTATAATCCCAGTACTTTAGTAGGTGGAGGCAAGAGAATTGCCTCAGTTCAGGGGTTTGAGACCAACCTGGGCAACATGACAAGACCTCGTCTGTATAATAAATCAAAAATATTAGCAAGATATGGTGACACATGCCTTTGGTTCCAGCTACTTGGAAGACTGAGGCAGAAAGATCACCTGAGCCCAGCAGTTTGAGGTTGTAGTGGCCATGAGCATGCCACTGCCACTGCACTCCAGCCTGGGCAACAGAGTGAGACTCTTGAATTAAATAAATAAATAAATAAATAGGTAAAAGGTACATTTTATAATGTGAGGGTACATAGTGAAGAATCTTGGCGTGATTAGGATGAGAAGAGTGTTAGATGATTGAGGCAGAAAAGAAATCAGTATCTGGAAAAGAATCAGTAATACACACTAGGAATGAATGAATGCCTTGCGAACCAAGCCAAAATATTTTTCATCTCTGAAATGTGTTCACTAGGACAGTCTTGTGAAACATAAACATTGCACTGTGCCTTAGTTCATTTGTGTTGCTATAAGAGAATACCTCAGACTGGATAATTTATAATGAACAGAAATTTATTTCTCCCAGTTCTGGCAGCTGGGGTGTTCAAGGTCAAGGGACTGGCATCTGGTGAGGACCTTTTTGCTATGTTATCCCATGGTGGAAGGGCAAACGGAGAGAGAGAGAGCAAGAGGGAGACCAAACGTGTCCTTTTATAATGAATCCACTCCCACAATGACAGCATTACTCCAGTCACCTCTCATTAGGCTGTGCCTCCAAACACTAGTGTATTAATTGTTTCCAGTACATGCTTTTTGCAGGATGCATTCTAACCACAGCATGTTGTCACTAGAGCTTTAGAAGAGTGCTGTCATGCACGTTCCATTGTGGAAAGAAACAATCTTCTGTCCTTTTTATCTCCTTCTTCCCCAAACCTAGGTGAAAAGATGAAAAAATTTTGTTTTCCTCTTTGACATACCATTTATCGACGTTTGTTTGAAATGTCCTTTATTGTATCCTAGAATTCCGGGGTTGGGGGCGGGTGTAGAGTTGCAAATATCTGTAATTTAATATAAATTCTTCCATTTTACATGGATGTTGAGGCTCACAGAAGTAACTTGCCCAAAATTCCATAATAGTAACCAAACTAGTATTCAAACACATATCTCTGTGACTCCAAAATCTGATTTTTTTCAAATATCATACTGCTATATTAATATGGAGATTGTTTTGTTTTCATAAATCTGGCCCAGCAGCTTCATTATGCAGCCAGACTCTGTTAATCCTGGGGAAGAGTACTTACCCTTGCATTCCAAAATGTACTACCTTACATGAAACATGTAGTTAATAATGTTTAAGTGAACATGTCTTGCAGCCACAAAGCTTCTGTGAATTTGATCAGGTGTTCACTTCCCTTGTGGATCCTGCAGTGAACATACCTCCCCCACCAAAATCAAGTATTCAGAGACCCTTAACCATTATAAGAACAAACTGTAGTTTTTCAGGGAAAATAAGCATTACCTTTTATGATGGAAATTGCTTTATTTGGTGTTATTGCTTCAGAAGTATCCAGAGAAGCTTGTACATGTCTAGTGGACACTCCTGCTGTTCTATTATTGAACAGTTCTTGTCAGGAAGTTATTTTGGAATTCTAAACTAAGGAAATGTCTCCTTCATGAAAGGCTGATGTATTTGTTACTGTTTTCATTCACAAAACTATTTGAATTATAAAGTGCTTGTTAAAGAGCATTTTCAGTTAAAAGAGAAAAACCTGCCTAGAGTGAATTTAAATAAGCCCTGAGTTGTAGATCTGTGTTTTATATTTCTCTCAAAATTACAAAGAATAAATTCCATGTTCTCCGTAAATCCTCTTCTTCCTTAGTGTCTCAATTAATTATGTTTATGAGTTGACTTTATTCACCCAATGAGATTATAAGTTTTATGAGTACAGTTTTATAATGCGAACATTTCTTCATGACCTTTTCAGAATAATTCTTATCTTGAGACCTCTAAAGTAATTCGTATGTTAAAGCTGTATAGTTGAACAAAGGATGGCATTGATATTTTTGTCTTCTAGTGAGACAAATTTCAGCAGTATGATAATACAACTTATTTTATGCTCACCAGAAGCCCTGATAAAATTGGAAAGCAAATTTTTATTTAACAAATGCCATTATTTTAAAAATAACTTTTTAAACAGTCTTTTATGATGAAAGATTGGGACTTAGTGTTTGATATGTCCATTCAGTACACTGTTGTGTAATAATGATTATTAAAAGTGTGATTGATTATTGGTAGGAAGTAATTAATGAACTTTTTTGTTTTAGGGAATGTTGTGGGGAACTTGGGACATTCGTTCTTCAGTCAAAGTTTTCTCGGCAGTAAAGAACATGGTGGATTCTTATATGTGACGTCTACCTACCAATCACTGCAAGACCTAGTACTCCCAACCCCACCTTACTTGTTTGGGATTCTCATCCAGAAATGGGAAACTCCCTGGGCTAAAGTGTTTCCCATCAGACTAATGTTGAGACTTGGAGCTGAATATCGACGTAAGTAGTAAAACCCCTTTTTCTCAGCCATAGGACCAAGGCATGATGACTAAATAGTGCCTGAAATATTCAGAGCCCTCTCTTTGGTGATGCAGTTCAGCAGAAATAGGCTTTTGAAATAACTAAGCTAAATTTGGTCGGTGTCTCTGCTTATTTTGGCTGTAGTGGGAAGGACTAAATATATTGAATAAAAGTTGGTGATTATTTATTACCTTGTAAACTTACTATTGTTTTTTTGAGTTGGAGTCTCACTCTGTCACCCAGACCGGAGTGCAGTGGCACCCTCCCAGCCACCCTAGCCTCGACCTGCAGGGCTCCGGCAATCCTTCCGCCTCAGCCTTCCAAGTAGCTGGAACTACAGGTGCACGCTACCATAGCCAGCTAATTTTTTAAAAATTTATTGTAGAGATGAGGTCTCGCCAAGTTGCTCAGGGGGGTATGGAACCCGCGAGCTCAGGCAATCCATTCACCTCAGTCTCCCAAAGCATGGGATTACAGGCTGAGCCACCGAGCCGGCAACTTACTGTTTTTATAGTTCGGTGATTAAAAACATAATCAGGTGTGGCATGCGGTTTACACCTGCAATCCCAGCACTTTGGAAGGCTGAGGCAGGAGGATTGCATGAGTCCAGGAATTTGAGACCAGACTGAGTAACATAGCAATACCTTATATCTACAAAAAAAAACTAAAAAGTTATCCAGGTGTGGTGGCATGTGCCTGTAGTCCCAGCTACTTAGGAGGCTAGGGTGGAAAGATCACCTGAGATCAAGGCTGTAGTAAGCCATGATTGTGTCACCGCACTCCAGCCTGGACAACAGAGACCCCGACTCAAAAAACTAAAACAAAAATCATCATCGTCTTTAGAAAATGAGTTTGAACTTAAGAAGTAACTTGATTTTTTATAGTATCTGTATATGGTGGGTGTATTCCTTGTCACTTGTTTGGAAAATAGTTATGACAAATTTTATTCCACTTAACATAACAGATCCTAGAAGCTGGTGGTATATAGACCACTCTCAATTGGTAAGGTAGGCTACAGAAGAAGAGTGTTCTTGCCCTTGTTGTAGCGGTGCAACTAAGTTAAGTGTGTTTTGTTGTGTTTTTAAATGCAAGCTTTATTTTAAACTTTATATCATCACCTAATGAGAAGTTCCCTGTGCTAGGGATTAGACCGCTTGACTAAGGGTGTCTTAACTTTGCCTCTAATATATCTGTAACTTTGGGTAAGTCACTCAAGTTTCCTGATTTTCAGTTTCTTTTATAAACTGTAGATAATAATACTTGCCTTTTATATTATGTTGGATTGTTAAAGGATCAAATGAGCTAATAAATGAAACAGTCTTTTCTAAACCCTAGACTAGTATATGTTTGAATAGTCAACTTCATTTTTTCACTTGTTTATTTATTCATTCCATAAGAATTTAATAAAAGTCTACCATATATCACTAATCCTGGGAATTCAGAAATGGCTAAGACATGGTTATATGCTCTTGGGAAACTTTATAAGGAGTACATATAGAAATCATGATTATAGCAGTATATTTTCTTAAACACCTGGCCTCAAAGTTATGTTCTCTAGGAGCTCCAAGATGGGCTCTAACTTGATGAAGAATAAAGGAGTAGTTGGACTTTCATTCTTCTCAGACTAAGATGCCTTTGTACTAAACTCTGAAGGAAGCATATAAAGTAGGGTAAGGGAAGAATTGTGTGCAGAGGAAACAATATGTGGATCTTCATATCTTGTGCAGGCACTTCAAACCATAAAGTTCAAGGGATGAGCTAGCCAATATGATTTGGCTCTCCTAAGGAGAGTTAGGAGGTATGGAAGAGTGAGCACACAGGAATCAGAAATTATTTTCTGGATTACATCAGTTCAATTTGGAGAAGATTGCTTCTTAAGACCTTGTGGGTCATTTTTGAAGCTTATATCAGAAGGCTTATTCTGGTCATCAGACGACTTACTCTGGCTCAGGGTTTGTCTGATTCCACGTTAAAATACTTTTTAAGGCCAGGCTCGGTGGCTCAGCCTGTAATCCCAGCACTTTGGGAGGCCGAGACAAGTGGATTGCCTGAGCCCATGGGTTCAAGACCAGTCCGGGCAACTCGGCGAGACCTCGTCTCTACAATAAATCAAAAATTAGCCAGCGTGGTAGCATGTACCTGTAGTTCTGGCTACTTGGAAGGTTGAGGTGCAAGATCAGTGGAGCCCAATAGGTCAACGCTGGGGTGGCCATGAAAATGCCACTGCACTCCAGCCTGGGTGAGGGAGTGAGACTCCAACCCAAAAAAAAAAAAAAAAAAGATAAAAGTAAAAAATACTTTTTAAGCCCTAAATTTGAAATGTTCTAATGAGTCATTACAATTATATTTTGAAGATTGTATTAGCCATGAAGTCTCTTTTAACAAAATTTTAAGCTGTCAAACTTAGTCTGATCATTTCTGATTTCCATAGTTTATCCATGCCCACTGTTCAGTGTCAGATTTCGGAAGCCATTGTTTGGAGAGACGGGACATACCATCATGAATCTTCTTGCAGTAAGTTGGGTTTTTTTTTTCTTTTTTTGGGGGGGGGTTTGTGTGGGAGAAAGATGAGGATGATTTTATTATTTTGTTGATAACCATGCCCCAGCTGCTTCAGTCAGATGAATATTGACGGTTGAGGAAAAAACAATATATTCTTTTGAAAACATAGAACTTTGGAATGAAATGATATAGGATTCCAGCACCTGATTATATACTTACTATCTGACCTTGCAGAATTATAGTGAAGACTAGAGATAATATATAAAGTCCTATCATTCTCTCTTGTTTTCATTTTAAGACTAGCATCTGTACCTGCTAATGAACATTTGTGTACCTAACCCTGAATTGTACCCCACATCTTTAAAATAAAAAATTTTTAAGTTAAAAAAAAGCAAACTGGCATCCTCTGGGTTTTCCCTGTGTCTACATAGGTTGCAATTTAGCCAAAGATTAATTGGAGATTGTGCTAAAATACCTCAGGACAATAAGGATATTACTCTCTGGTGATGGATCTGTATATGGACTGGATTTAAGCTTCATTCTTTTTCTGTCATCTGAACTCTCTCATATCTCTTAACGTATGTGCACAGGCTCTGACTCTGTTGACCGCAGGCATCAGTTGGCCTGTATCCACTAAGGTCTCTGCTGAGTGTGTACATAGACTAAGGTTAATCCTGGATGTTTGGAGAGTTTATGAAGCTCCCTGTGGCTATCTCTTCTCCCAGAACTCCTTATTAAACCTCTGATTAGTCTGCATGTACATTATGTTGTCCCAAACTGGCTGACAACCTCAGGATATCAGAACTACAGGCCCTCCTTTTTGTTAGTCACTGAGATTACTGTATGGGGCCAGCAGACAGCCTCAGCAAGAAGGTCACAGACTCGACTCTTCTTTTTTTTTTTGAGTTGGAATCTCACACTGGCACTCAGGCTGGAGGGCAGTGGTATGTTCACAACCACCCCAGTGTTGATCTCCTGGGTTCCAGTGATCCTTCTGCCTCAGTCTTCCAAATAGCCAGAACTACAGGTGTGTGCTACCACACCCATCTAATTTTTTAATTATTGTAGAGATGAGGTTTCGCCAAGTTGCCTGGGCTGGTCTCAAACCCATGGGCTCAGGCAATCCATTCGCCTTGGCCTCCCAAAGTGCTGGGATTACAGGCTGACCCACTGAGCCCAGCCTGTACTCTACTTTTCTTACTTAAAGTCCTATAGTTTTCATGAAATAATAGTTCTCAATGTGTTGTGTGCCTTTGGTCTAATTCCGGAACACAGAAGTAATTGGTTGTTTTTTTTTTTAAACTATTTACTCAACTTTTTAGTTGCCTTTTGAGGAGTGAATTAGGTGACTTCCTCACCTTTTTTTCTGATTTCATATTTTTAATTTTTTAATTGACACATTATAATCATATGTATTTGTGGAATACATTTGCTGTTTCTATACATGTATATGTTGTATAAAGATCAAGTCAGAAAAAAAAAAAAAAAAAAGATCAAGTCAGCAACAAGGATACCTGCATAATGCATATTTGTATACCTAACCCTGAGTTGTACCCCACATCTTGAAAATAAAGAAAAAAAAAGACGAAGTCAGGGTAATTAGCATATCTGTCACCTTATGCATTTATTGTTTCTTTGTGATGAGAACATCCAAAAACCTTTCTTCTAGCTATTTTGTATGATACATTACCCTACTGTTAACCATAGTCATCCTACTGTGCAGTAGAACACCAGAACTTATTCTTCCTGTGTCATTGTAACTTTGTACTGTTGACCAACTTCTCCTCATTCTTCCCTCTCCCATTCCTTCCTTAGTCTCTGGTAACCACTCTTCTACTCTCTACTTCTATGAGATCAACATATTCCATATTGAGGGAGATCATGGGGTATTTGTCTTTCTGTGTTTGGTTTATTTCACTTAACACATCGTCCTCCAGGCTTATCCATTTTATCTCAAATGATAGGATGTCATTTTTATGGCTGAATAGTATTCCATTGTGTTATGTACTACATTTTCTTTATCTGTTTATTCATTATTAGTCATTTAGTTTGATTTTAAGTCTTGGCTATTATGGATAGTGCTGGAATAAACATGAGAGTACAGATAACTCTTTGACTTACTGACTTCATTTCCTTTGGCTATATACCCAGTAGTCATATTGTTGAATCATATAATAGTTCTATTTCTAATTTTGTACTGTTTGTCATAATGGCTATTCTGATTTACCTTCCCACCAACAGTGTGTGTTTCATTTTCTCCACATCCTTGCCAACACTTGCTGTCTTTTATCTTTTTGATGATAGCCATTCAGACTGCAGTAAATTGGTATCCCACTGTGGTTTTGATTTTCATTTTCCTGTTGATTAGTGATGTTAAGCATGTTTTCACATACCTATTGGCCATTTGTATGTCTTTTGAGAAATGCCTATTTTTTAATTGGGTTATTTGTCCTTTTGCTGTCACGTTGTTTAAGTTCTTTATATATTCTGGAAATTGATCCCTTGTCAGATATATAATTTGCAGGTATTTTCTCCCATTCTGTAGCTTGTCTCTTCACTCTGTTAATAATTTCCTTTGCTGTGCAAAACCTTTTTAGTTTGATGTAATTCTGTGAGTCTGCTTTTGCTTTTGTTGCCTGTGCTTTTGAGGTCTTATCTAAAAATTTCATCCAGGCATGGTCGCTCATACCTGTAATCCTGTCACTTTGGGAGGTCATGGCAGGAGGAATGCTTGTGGCCAGGAGTTCTAGAGCAGCCTAGGCAACATAGCAAGACCATGTTTCTAAATAAACAAACAAATAAAAAAAATTTATTGTCCAGCTCAATGTTGTGAAGCATTTTCCTTGTTTTTGTCTAATAGTTTCACAATTTTGAGTTTTACATTTAAGTCTTCAATCCATTTTGAGTTGACTTTTGTATATGATGAGAGGTAGGGGTCGAGTCTCATTCTTCTTTATGTGGGTATCCAGTTTTCCAAGTATCATTTATTAAAAAGACTGTCATTTCCTCATGTGTGTTCTTGGCACTTTTGTTGAAAATCAGTTGGCTGTAGGTATGTGAATTTATTTCTCTTATTGTTTCATTGGTCTATGTGGCTGTTTTTAGGCCAGTTCATGCTGTTTTAATTATTTCTTTGTAGTATATTTTGAAGTCAGGCAGTGCAATGTCTCCAACTTTCTTATTTTTGCTCAGGATTGCTTTGACTGTTTGATGTCATTTGTGGTTCTATAAGAATCTTAGGATTGTTTTTTCTATTTCTGTAAAGAATGTCATTTGTATTTTGATAGAGATTATATTAAATCTGTAGATCACTTTGGATAGTGTGACCATGTTCACAATATTAATTCTTCCAGTCCATGAACACTGGGCATCTTTTCATTTAGTTGTGTCCTCTTCCCTCTTCAGTTTTTTAAATTAATATTTTGTAGTTTTCATTGTGAAGCTCTTTCATTTCCTTGGTTAATTTTAGTCCTAGGTATCCCATTTTTTGTAGCTATTGTAAATGAAATTGCTTTCTTGGTTTCTTTTTCACATAGTTCACTATTCACTTATAGAGATGCTATTGATTTTTGTGTGTTGATTTTTTTATATCCTGCAACTTTACTGAATTGATTTATTAGTTCTAACAGTTTTTTGGTGGAGTCTTTAGGTTTTTGTATATATAATATCATGTCATTTGCAAACAAGAACTACGTGACTTTCTTCTTTCCAATTTGGATGCCTTTTATTTTTTTCTGTTGCCTAATTACTCTGGCTAGGACTTCCAGTACTGTGTTGAATAAAAGTGGTGAATATAGGCATCCTTGTCTTGTTTCTGATCTTAGAGGAAAGGCTTTTAGCTTTTCCCATTCAGTTTGATGTTAGTTGTGGGCTAGTCATATAGGGCCTTTATTGTGCTGGGCTGTCTGTCTGGCTGGGCCCAGCAGACCAGCCAGCTGTGTGTTGGCTTCCCCACTGTATAGATCTGCCTGTTCCTTGGGAGGGAGGAGAAGGTACTGTATGGATTCAACTCTGGGGCTTAGCCATTCTGTTGGGCCTAGGCTCTGAGCAGGCAGAATTGTGCAGCAGCCACCCATTTAAGTGTGGTGGAATGACAGTGGGTTTCAGAGATGAAAAGAGGCAGTAGCTGCTGGCCCCCAGGGCAGAATGAGCAATAGTAGTAGATCCAATTTCTAGATAGTGCCCTGCTGTAGCAGCTTGGTTGTGGGGGTGGGGTGTGTATTGCGTGGGCTCCTACTGTGGGACAGTGCAGTCCTGTGAACTCCAAGCAACTCTCCAAACTGGATTCGGGGCCTGAGAGGACCACAGGACTCTCCTGAAGCAAGGACTACAGGCAGCTACAGTGTTAATGGGGACCACTGGAGATTTCCAGGTTACCTTTTGCCCATTAGAAGAAATGCCCCCTGACTCTGAGCCAGTCCCTGCAGGGGAGACCACGTGGCAGAGATAGAGTGTGCTTCTGTTCCCCTCTCTGTGGAGCTATCCTGAGCTTCTCATGCTCCACAAGGATTCCAACACTCCATTGGTGCACTCCAGCTTACTTCCTAAGTCACTCCAGTTGAAATCTAATTGTTTATTTGTTGTTTTGGTCCCTTTTTGTAGGGAGGGCTGAGCACCAGGAAACTCTAGCTGACCATCTTGCAGACATTACTCTCCTCAAGTATTCTTTTAAAGAGATTTCAGCTTTTTGTTTTTGTTTTCTGAATCAGAGTCTCACTCTGTCGCCCAGGCTGGAGTGCAGTGGCACAGCCGCTGCAGCCTTGGCCCGCTGGGCTCAGGCAGTCCTTTCAAATAGCTGGAACTATAGATGCGCACCACCATGCCAAGCTAATTTTTTTATTTATTGTAGAGACGAGGTCTCGCCAAGTTGCCCAGGCTGATCTCGAATCCCTGGACTCAGACAATCCTCTCATCCTCAGCCTCCCAAAGTACTGGGCTTACAGGCGTGAACTACTGCCCAGGCTAAGAGATTTGAACAATAAGAAAAATTCCTGTAGACTTACCTATCTAGTTGCCATTTCTAGTGTTCTTCATTCCTTTGTGTAAGTCTGTATTTCTGTCTGATGTCATTGTCCTTCTGCCAGAATAATTGCCTGTGATATTTCTTGTAGTGTAGGTTTTGCTGATGATAAATTCTTTCAACTTTTATATATTTTTATTAATTATTTTCTTTTTAAAATGTGGGGTACAGCTGGGCTCGGTGGCTCAGCCTGTAATCCCACGCCTTTGGGAGGCTGAGGTGAGTGGATTGCCTGAGCCCGCAGATTCGAGACCCGCCTGGGCAGCAAGACCTCATCTCTACAATAAATTTAAAAATCAGCTGGGCATGGTAGCGCATGCCTGTAATTCCGGCTACTCACAAGGCTGAGGCAGAAGGATCGCCGGAGCCCAGCAGGTCGAGACTGCGGTGGCCGGGAGCGGCCACTGCACTCCAGTCTGGGCGACAGAGTGAGACTACAACTCAAAAAAAAAAAAATGTGGGGGACAAATGAGGGTTAGGAACATGCGTGGTCATCATACAGGTAAAGTGTGGGTACCCTTATGTGTCCCCCCTTCCCTAGCAGTGTCCCACTGCTGCCAATCCCTTTCTTATAGTATGGTAAATGTTCAGGGTCCACTTATGAGTGAGTACATGTGGTGCTCAGATCTTTGTTTCTGTGATAAATCACTGAGTATTATAGACTCTAATAACTTTTGTATTTCTAATGACATCTTTATTTTACCTTCATATTTGAAGAATATTTTTGCCAGATGTAGCATTCTAGGCTGACAGTTTCATTCTTTGAGTATTTTAAAGATATTGCTCCACTGTCTTCTGGTTGGCATTGTTTTCCCCCTTGTCTTTGTTCCTTTCTACATAACATTTTTTTCTTCCCTGACTGCTTTAAAAAAACATTTTCCTTTTTTCTTTTTTTTTTTTTTGAGTTTAAGTCTCACTTTGTCGCCCAGACTGGAGTTCAGTGGCACGCTTCCGGCCACCGCAGCCTCGACTTGCTGGCCTCCGGCGATCCTTCCGCCTCAGCCTTCCAAG